GGAAGATTTTCATGCCTGCAGTGTAGGAAAGGAGAGTGAAGAAGACCTCACTACAAAGGAGAATTTCTGGCCAAAGACTATGGTGATGTGTAAAAATATATTAACATCCAGAAGCCAAAGTAGTTTGTAATGAAATGTATATGGCACAGTAAATCTAGCATTAATAAAACTCAAATTTTCTTTAAAAATCACTGATTTGTTTGAATTTGATTGAAAGTAGGTCTATGAAACTAAAAAAATCTTATGTTATCAACCAGATTTAGGACAAGGAAGGTCCATATTCCAAGGTGAAAGTCTATGATTCAGAGCTGCAATGTCTTATAGCAGAATCTGGAATCATTTTAGTTATTTAGGCACTCATTTTTTCCAGACAGACTTACCATGAGGTAAATTTGGTATTCATAATTTTCCAGTATCCGTTGCTTGCTGTTACAGGGATAGAAACTCATCCTCAACACATTGGCAAGTTTCACTCTGACTCTCGTACCCCGTCTGTATGTGATAATCTTCAGTAGTGCTTTGAGACTCAACATGGTGCCCACACTGCGGCTGAGGGCCGTTCTCCCAAGCTAAACTTCCACATGGGTGGAAGCCCTCACTGGGAAAGTCCAGCTTCAGCCCATTCCCCACCCACAGCACATACTTCGTGTCCTTATTGACATCTGTATCTTAAGATACAGAAAGAAAAACAAAGTGTTGGGAGGACAAATCAATGAACAGTTAGATACTCCCAGAGCCTGGGGCAGTTGTTTTGGGGGATGTGACACTAGCAAGGGTTAGTGCTAGTGCACTTCTGAGGAGCTAGAAGGTGGCCATCGATCTAGGCTGAAATGTTGTCAATGCTCAGAACTTAAAATGGTGCATTACTGAATAAATAAATAGATAGCAGTTGCTGCCATCTTTGAAAACAAGATGTAGATGCACAGTTGACTCACCTGATCCAAGACCATGCTCTGCAGCTCAGGGGGAAATTGCCAGCTCCTCCTCCTTGCAGGTCTTCCTCATCCACCTACCGCATCCCTTACCTCAGCTTTTGCAATTGGGTAGCCGTGGGAGGATTCCTAGGGCTTGTTACTCTGACTGAAACTTGCCCTGCACAAGGAAGACATAAATTTCTGGTAGCTCAGTGTTTGACACACGTGGTAGGCACAAAGGAGGAGTGGACAGGGTCCACAGGTGGTGGAGGGAGAGGAGGGTGGGACTTGCCATTCCTCCTGGCAGCAACCTGCAGGGAGCTCTGTTTAAACTACTCATGAAACTGCGGCACTTGACAGTTAAATGTGGTGGCAAGAGCTTCGCCAAGCGTTTGAGGTTGGCTTTGTGTTACAAATCTAAGCAAATTCAACTGTTAGCTTGGGTGCTTGAAAACTCTAAATTGATCTGCTACCTATGTAGGGGCCTAGGCTCCTAACATAGCACAACTTAATACCGTGCAAAATGTCTGTGCCATTGAAATGACAGGGTACAATGGGCTGGAATTTATGTTTAAAAGGTTTGAATTTTTGTGGTTATTGTTGTTTCTGTTGTTTCATAGGAATCAGCCAAGGTAAAATATGTCAACCTTTCTGAAGTTTCATTGTATTCTGTGGTGCTGGTCTGGCACAGGATCATAAACTTCTTTCTCCTCTAGGAAACATAGAGGATGTCTGAGTCTTGCTTTGCCCTCTGCCTCTCTCTCTGTCTGTCTTTTCTTTGCATTTCAAAAAAAAAAAAAAAAAGGAAAAAGAAAAAGAGCAACTTCACAGAACTGCAAAGCAGAGGAAATGATTCTTGGTTGCCTTAAGAGTATCTTGATATCAGTAAGCCCTTTTACAACATCAGTGAGAACAGCAAACTACTGCTGTGCTAAAATTGCTTTAGGGGGAGGAATCTCAATGTCCAGACAGTGCTGCAGAGACCACAAAGCTATTTGAGGCATGTAGACACCCAGAGTGCTCAGTCATAAAATGAGCTTTCTCCTAGATTAGCATTCATCTAATCTTTCTGAAGTTTAAGGCATCGCCAGAGGAGGAATCTACATCTGGGCATGTCCCTTCCAGGCTCCCTTTTTACTCAATGGAGAGACGGGTATTTCTATGCTATGATCCATATGACCTACATGAACCTCCTCCCTTTGAAGGATGGGGTGGGCTAGTCCCTAGAAGATCCCATTTCTTTGCACTGCCTACAGAGGAAGCCCAATGACTAGCCCCAGTATAGACCTCTTTACTGTAGCCCTCTGAGTTTCACAGAATGAATTCTACCCTAACAGTCTGATAAAAATTGAAGATACGTGAGAAATGGATGGATGGAGGGTCCTGGCAGCAGTAAGAAGGAGGGCATTTAATAAAGCCATTGTTGAATACCAACAAATAATTACTAAGGAAAGGAAAGCAAAACATTTGGCATGCCTTTGCGGCTCCTGGGAGAAACTGAGCCCATCCTGAGACTTTAGCGATGTTATGCCGTTCTCCAGGTTCCCAGGCAAACTTGGGCCTGGCAGGGCTGGTAGAGACAATTCCCCTCGCACAGGCCTGGCAGTTGGCAGCCTTGAAGCTTAATTCTGCTAAACCCTCTACAAATTCCATTTTTTTTTCGAAAATTCAGGAGAGATACTGTGAGGTTTGGAGTTCCTTTTATTTGTTTTTCAGTGGGAATTGTTTATTCACTGAAAACTTTTGTTCCAGCTGATCTGAAAGTGTTCACGGACTGGATCAAGATGGAAATAATTTGACTAGCTCAAAATTGAATAAGGGATTTATGAAAGTGACTGATTTGGATATTTTAGAAACATATAGGGAAGCACGTTTGCATTGAATTGCAAATGGCACTGGCAAATGCAGAGAAGGAGATGAAAACTCTCTCATGAAAGACAGATTCTAATCCTCTTTCTGCCTGCTGCTGAGTAAGCGAATGTCTTAGCCACTGGACTTTTAGAGTCACAGAGGGAGGGAGGTAAGAGGAGAGCTGTCTTTATCCGTTTTGTTCAAATTATCAGAATTACATTTGGGAGGCAGTGAAATGTTAGACCAGAAGAGAGAGTCTCCAGCTGTGTGCTTACAGCATTCTCTGAGACTGAGGCACAGATTCTGCTCCCTCTTCCAATGACTCTTTAAAGTTTTAAATAAAGTAGAACAACTTTTTAAAAATGCTTTTGCCACTGAGTGATGGGAACAAAAGGGAACTCCTAAGACTAACATTTCCTTTTGTTGGGAATCTTTATTTTCCATTTTCCCAAGTCCATTTTTGACCATAGCTATCAGCTTTAATTAAAAGGAAAAAAAGGGGGGGAGCCTTAGGGGAAAACAAAAACATTTGTTTCAAAATCTGGGGGAAAAAATCAGATCTAGGGAAAAAAATCAGATCTGGAAAAAAAAATCAGAAAATAACTGACCCTGCCCTACCAAGCAGTGAACAACTCCTTCCTTCTTTTTTAATGTCAATGCCTGCCTGAATGGAGCAGGCTAAACACTGCTCACCGGAAGGGAGAGAGTCAGAACTGCAGCAGACACTCCAGGCTGTTCAGCCAAGGCAACCGTGGGGGCACAGCAGCTGTGGTGGCTTCACTGTCAGGCAGCAGGAGGAGAAAAGAGTGTGTGCAGATGTGTATAATGTCACACATGCATTTGGTAAGCCACTGAGGCAGGATCCAGCTGTTCTCTGCTTTGGAGGTGAAGCCCTCTTTGCATAAGACACCCAGAGGTCCCTGCTGCGGTGCATGTCTTCTCCCTTGGCTAAACTGGGCGCCGCAAAGCTGAAAAGCCTTTGGCCAAATCAGGCAACTTCTAAACAAATGAATTGCAAATTCCACTTTGTAATCACCATCAAGCTACTCTCTACCCAAGCAGTTTGCTTTCCTGGTCAGTCAGTCTTCAGTACTTCAGGCAGTAAGAAGGATTTGTTACTATAGTGTCTTAATAAAATTCTAAATTCAGTCTACTTTGAAAAAAGGTTATCTAAAAAAACAAAGCCTCCTTTAAAATTCAAAAACTCTCAGATCATCAGAAGAAATGATCACCTAAATCCGAGTTACTATTTGCAACCTCGCAGAGGTAAGCAGTCAAAATTCCATCCAAAAATACAGAAAGAAAGGAAAAAAAAGGTTGGACGGAAAAGCACTTTCTCATGCAGAAAATAATAACTGCTTGCAATAGCCTGCCAAGCAGGGTTACTGAAGTAAAAACACACTGTTCACTCAAGGACAAGGATCATATGACCACACTGGGGAGACTGAGTGTTGAATATGGAAGAAGCATTTGGCTATTCTCCTAAAAAAAGGTTTAAAAGGGTGAAATAATGAATAAAGTCTTCCTTACACCCATAGGCTATTTCTGTAGCTCCCAATAGCCAGCTAAAGTACCCTTCAGATTACAAGATATGCTTTTGTCTAGGGTGGTATCTGCATCATG